TTTATGACTAATTCATAATTTAGTATTATTGTAAGAAGACTAATTCTTGAAATAATTTATATTTTTAAATTGCTATTTTTCTTCGAAAATTTCAATAATTTAATTAATAATTTAATAGAAATAGAAAAATAATGTCATAAAAAGAAATAATAAATAGAGAATTAGAATATCATATGAAAGAATTAGATTAAGTATTAGATGTATATAATTTATTATAATTTATTTTTAGTAATCATTTGATAAAATAAATAATTTGATTGATTAATTATTTATTATAGATTCTCCAATTTATAAGTTTAACAATACTAAATTGGAATTATCTTTACCAAAACTTAATTAATTCCATTTAATTGATTAATCTCAATTTTAATCAAATATTCTTTAAGAACTTAAACCATTAATTAATTCAAAAATCAAACAATCACATTAATAAAATTAAACATCATTAATATAATCATCATAATAATAAATTAAATCTTAATTCAATATTAAACCATTTAATTATTAATTAATTTCAAATAGTTCAATAAAATAATAATAAGATTGTTATTGTATTGCAATTAATAAAGATAATTCAATTGTAGCTATTGGTTGTGATATGAATTTAAATAAGAAATGATGTAATAAATTCAAGTCTTAAATGTAAATAGTAATTTAGTATTCACTTTAAATTTCATGTAATAATCAAATTAATTGATATCTGGACATTCTGGTGGATCTATTGTAATTTGGTCAAGAAATAACAATTATTAATGGAATTCCTCATAAACAATTAATGGACATAATGATTATATAAATTGTGTAATTTTGAATAAGAATGAAGATCTTTTTATATCTAGTAGTAGTGATAAAACTATTAAATTTTGGATTAAATAAAATGAATGGATCTGTTAATAAACAATTACTGATCATACTAATGATGTTTATTAAATAAGTTTAAATGATTAACAAGATAAAGTTATTTCTTGTGGAATGGATAATAACATATTAGTAATTGAATATTCTGAATAAAGTAAAAGGTGGATTGTTATATAAAATATATATGTTGATTGTTTCGGATGGAGATTATGCTTTATAAACAATAATCTATTTACATTTTAACCTTTTAATGGTAATTTAATGCATATCTATGAGATGAATAGTGTAAGTAAATAGTTCTCTAGTTCAAAAGATATTACAGTAAATTAAGATTAAGATGGTTGGTCATTATTTCCATAATAATTTATTAAATAAAAATAGATATTAGTTAGTAAACATAGTGGATATGTCAATTTTATAAGAAAGACAGAAAAAGATGAATTTAAAGTTGAGTAATCTATTCAATTTAATACATATACATTATTTGGTTAATTGAGTGATGATGGAGAGTATTTTATTACTTGGGATGATTAATCTAAAGAAATTTAAATTAGAAAATATAGAGAAGAATGAAAATTATAAATCAAAATATATAAAATATTAAATATATACAAAAGAATTTTTGAACAAATAATGAGGGTTCTCCCTTTGATAATTATCATCTGTTGAGTTCTGTTAATAGTTTATTATAAATTAAATTTTTATAATAACATAGCATAAATTTCAAAGAATCTGTAGAATTGTGATTAGTAAGTGTTAAAATTGAAGAAACCGTTGATATTAAAAAGATATTTGCGGACTTATATATTAATGAATAAGTTTTAATTGGAGAGCACGGATTATTTGTATAAGGAATAAGGAGTTTCTTTTTTCAGGAGTGATTAAAATATGGTATTAGATTTAGAAAAATGAATTAAAAGATTTGGTTCGAAGAATAATTTAAGGCGCTTTGATAAGTAGAAAGATTTTAATTTTAATCTCATTTATAGATAACTCCTTTTTTAGTGTTTATTATTTAAACATTAAATTACTTAATACAAGAGTTTAGCAAAATTGCCATAAGAGAATAAGGATATAAGTTTTTGTGAGAGATAAATGTTTCAAGATAGAGCGGAGACAATGTATAGGTAGACATCGTGAGTAATTTGAAAATCTTAATGTATTATATTGTATTTAAGTAACTGGACAAGAAAGATATCTTAGGATTAATAGTAGAAATGATTAAATTTTAATGAAAAAGATAGGAGCAAATGGAACTTAGATTATCATAGGTGTTCAAATGGATGGTATGTACATTTGGTTTGAGTGGGATAGAGAATTAAGAATTAATAGGAATGAAAGGAAATTATCAAATTTTTCTTCAATTATTTTGTTATATTAGGTTAAACTGCTTACTTTTGTAGTTTTGGTCATCTAATTTGACTCAAAAAAAAATTTCAAAATTCAATTTAAAAAAACTTATTTTGGTGCTTTAAAGAATTCTGGCAATAAATCCAGGAACATTTAAAGCATGAATAAGAACAAAAAGAAAACAAACGAATATTTTTTACTAACTAATTATAATATTAATTAAAAATTACACACCTTTCAAATCCAAAATATCCGAATTTATCAAAATATCTGACTATTATTTTCTTTAGGATATTTTTTCTTTTCTTGAAAAGATTTTCAAAATTTCTTGTTTTCTAAATATTTTTCTCCAATCCATAACATTACAAATTTAAATCTTGTAATTGTCCTAATTACTTTAGTAAAAGGGTGTTTGGAACTTAAAATAAAGAAATTCCTCAGAACGAAAATAAAACTCAATCAGGTTCCTCTTCTACATTGAATTGAGTGAGTAGAGCTTATAAATTCCAAGCCGAAATTCTTCATTTTACATTACTTAATGGTAAAAATATTAAGTTATCTTAAATAGGTTGACTCTTCTTCATAAAAAAAACCTTACTGATGGCCTCAGCGAACCAATTAAGCACTTTAAGTATCTAAATACCTTCATAATTAGATTTGGAAAAATTATAGTTCCAGAAGGCATTTAGTTCGGCAAAGAAGATACTGGATAATTTTTGAAAAAATGATGAGAATTATTTCGAAAAACAAAAATTATTGTGATATTAAAATTAGTTTTAGTTGATGTTTTCAGTTTGAAGTGAATTTTTTAATTATTAATAATCCAGAAAACTAACCTAGACTTTATATATTTGACAGAATAGTGCTTTATTTAATTGAATTAATAAATTGATTTAAATTTTATAATATAATATTCATACAAACTGTTAATTAGTTTATAATTTGGTTAAAATTATTTGTAGAGAAGTTAAAATAACAAATCAATAAACTAAAGTATTGAATATCTATTTTCTTAGTGGAAAATTGCGTATTCTTTTTTTATATTTTAAATAAATTAATCATATTCTATACTATTTATTTAATTAAAATGATTCTTTGTTTTATTAGATTCTTAATCAATTTCATTGATAATTATATTAATAGGAAATACAAAAATTCTTTTAAGCCATAAGAATATAATATTCAATATGAAATAGATATAATGAATAATGATTAAAAAATGTAACATAATAGAATATTTATATATAGCATATAATTTGAAAAAAAATAAATCTTCATTTATTCGAAATAATAA